TTTCAGTTTTGATGTATTTTCATGTATTTTCAGTTATGTTCAGAATTTCCGAGGACGGAAATTTTGTAAGGAGGGAGGATTGTAATATCCCGACTTTTATCAGTAATAAATGATATTTTTAGTTCCGATATTATTTTTCGGAATTAATTATTTTCAATTATTTCAGTCAGGATTACCGGAAAATATTTTCGACGTACCGTGTACGTTCGGAATAATTTTGGTAATTAAGCATTATGTTTAATTGGATAATTAAACATAGTTAAGTGATTAACCTACATTAATCACGAGATTAGCTATTATGTTCGGATTTTTCAATCCATTCATGCTATATTGCCGTGTGCATACATGTGTTATGTGTAAGTGTTAGTAATAATTTGTTCAAGTTCAAGTGCATAAGCCGTGCCATTTTTCCGACCCTTGTCCGCACGATTATGTGTATGTGTCTTGGTCAAGATTCCCTCCAACATGGCCCTAAGAGACCGTGCACCCCATTGTCCGTTTGCTATTGTTTTGTCCCCCTTAATGCCGTGCGTGAGGAACCAAGGCTAGAAGACCGTTCACTATGCTATTTGTCTTCAAGTGCCGCGCATATCATGGGTCTCTCTTCTTCTTTTATTCACGTGACCTTAGTGAGGCCAAGGAAGAGCCGCATGGTTGCCATGTGTCTTGAACTTTTTGTGCATGTGTGCAAGGTGTCCAAAGCCTTGACCATTTTGTTTCTTCCCCTCATTACTTTCGGCCGTGCATGAGTAGAGTGTTGGAAGATTTTCTTTCCATCTCCTTTTCACGCCCTAAGTTCATTGTGCCGAGAGAGTTGTGAGAATTATTTTCTTTTCTTCTCTTAAGTGTTATCTTTGAGCAATTGCCGAGAGTCCCACACACATCGCCGTAACCTATCGCCGAGCTATCGCGCGCACGACAAGCAGTCGCCGCACCGCTACGCAACACACGCACGCGGAGAACACAGCCGAGAGCTCGGGAGTTCGAGAGTTAGTCTCTGGAACTTAATAAGAGGTAAGTCCCGTCGGCTTTTTACCGAGAGTAGCATGTTCACCAAGTTTAATCATGTTAGTGAGGCATGCATGCGTGTTATGTGAATAGCCGTGCGTTTAGCCGTAGCCGTAGCTATTATGTCATGTTTCAAGTTATTTTCCTCCGACCATTCTTGCATGTTTAGTCTTTAATTGCAAAATCATGTTTAAATTAGCTTAAGTGTTCGGATGAATTTAGTCATGTTAATGGGGTTGGCCGAGAGGGGTGTGGTCGCACACTTAGTGCGCACCACGGGCCACCCGAGTGCTATTGCATGATATGTTCAAGCCTTCGACCTTTATGTGTTATTATGTTCAGCAAATCATGTTTAAGTT